TCGATTCATGACGTCGATTTTTGACAAATAACTGCGAAAAGTACCAAGAAAACAAAAAAAAAATTGTATTGTTTTCGTTTTGAACGACTCAAAATTTGCCTATAAAATAATATTTTAAAGATTTTCACTTTTCGTGTAAGCTATTGTAATTATATGTTTTACTATACTTTTATAAATATTCATGTAAAAACAGATTAATATCGATGAAAAAACGTGATTAATTTTTAAAGTTTAAAATGTATTAATAAATTAGAATCATAAATACTCTTGATATTTTTATACTACGTTAATATATGTAGGCATATTTTTGAAAAATTGTCCTTCATTTTGAATCCACATTTATGGTCACCGTAGTTATACTATAAATTAACTTAGGTGTAAATAATCCCTTTTTTCCAATGTTTGGTGAGATTTTTTCATTGTTCGAAAAATTCTTTTAGCGAAATTATGCAAAAAGAGGCTGAAAATCAAAAATTTTGAAAATCAAAAATTACATATATTTGCAAAGTCGCGCGCAAAGATCAAATTATATATTCTAAAATTACATAAAATTCTCTAAATCATTTGTCTAATTTCAAGAGCTGACGGACCGGTACTCACACTTTTTTTTACTAATAATCTTTAGCACCTACATTTCAAAGCAAATTTTTTGGTAAGAAAATAGGAAAGTACCAAATAAATCATAAATACCTTCACCTGAATATTCCACGATATTTAAATAATGGATTATGGTTGAAAAAGAAACATTTTCTTTAATTGGTTAATCGCCAAAGGCCACTTAACTGATCACTCGGTATCGCGCCGATTCCCGTATTTCTTTGGAAATGTATCGTTCGTGAAGAAGGGGAGTGAGTAAATAATGTGAAATGTGGTATTTGTGACTTTTACTTTTCCCTCTCTAGGTCTAACTGGTGTTTTTTTATCAACTGTCACCATGACTTTTTTCTATCTGCCTCCATATAGTCGAAACACTGTGCGATCTGGCGAAAAAAAGAACAGATACAAATTGAAAATTTGCTTCTAAGAGGAGATAAACACCATGTTGGTTGCGGAACACACATGTCAGACTAAAAGGCAAATCTAGCCAAAAGTCGATATAAGGCGATATAAAGCTCTCATAAGACTCAGCCGCTGCTCTCTTAGATTAGTTGTTTGTGTAATAATGGGATACTGCCCTGTATGCCCTGCACATGGCACGTGGTTATAATATCCAACCAACGGCAGACAAGGAAGAAGAAGATAACGTTTAACACTAACTATGTTATTGTCCCGTCCTGGCTAAGATTCTCCGTGCTTTTCTTTCGCGTTATCAGAAATTCTTACTTTACCTAAACTTCGCGAATCTTCGCATAGCCACTACGACTGAGTTTATCAACTTTTTTAATTTTTTAAGGCAAGGTCCTGTCAAAGTGACTCAAGCCGGTTTAACAAAAGTATTGCATTTCTTCAGATAAAACACGGCTTAGGATTCTAATCAACTGAAAACACTGCCAATTTCTTGACTTTACTCGATGGGTTGAATTTTCGGTGAAAAACAATTGCATCGCATCCGATTAAAAATGGACTGTTACTATAATAAACTTACCAACTTTACAAAAACTCGGGCTCCATGGTAAACTTTTTGCGTAATTTTATCTGTCATAAAAGATCACATCTAGTTCCTCCAACCAAAAATACCAAACAGGCATCAATGTAACGATCGAAATAGCCATCCATAGTCCTGAGCGGAGTTGCGTCCGGATCTTATTTTTCAAGTCCTGTGTTCCGACACGAGATAACAAACTATAGATCATGGCTCACTTAGCTCTATGGCTTACTTGCCTGCATGATGTACACCTATTTTCATTTCAATTTGATTGAAAAACGCGCAATCTCTTAAGTTGGTTGAAGATGGTCCTATTTCAGCTGCCGATTCAAAAACTTAAATTTATTTACATCTACTAAAATCGACTACCGCCCGCCATTCTCATATTCCTTCAAGTGTGACGAAGTAATTTAAGCGCATATTAAAGGCTATTCAGGGTGTTTTGTTAAAGACTAAAAAAAATTTTTGGACAAATCGAAAGATCGGATGGGGCTATATAAAAGGATCCAGACCAATTGGCCCTAAATTCGCCACCGAGGACTCCAAATGAGTTAGTAATTCGAATCAAGCAATTTGTTTTTCAGGTTTAATAATCGAATTTTGGCTTTAATAGCAACATTTTGTGTTTCATCCAAAAGTGTCTTCAACAAGCATGCGCATTTGCCTCAAGTAAAGCAGTTGCTGAGCAAATGCCACAGCGTTTACAATAACATCTGCATCTATGCAATTATAAACATTGATTTAGCTCCAAATTGGCAACAATAAAATAATCATAATCAATTTAAAGAAGCCCACATATGCTACTGGCTATAGACGCTTAACCTTGATAGTAAAGTTGAAAACAATCAAATATGTAATTCTTACCGCGAACAATTCAAAATAACACAAATTAGATACATACATACAAACATTATGCCTACACAAGTACGTTCACTCAATTTGTGCAACAGTTGCCAAAATAAGAAAAAACGCATCTTGGTGTTTTACGCTCAATAAGTGCCGCCAAGGGTCGTTAGCAGCGTGATTCTTGCACTTGACGTTGTTGTTGTTATTTATTGCTGTTATTTGTTGCCAGACACTGTTAGGTGAAACAGCATAATTGGTGTGTTGCAAGCTTCAACTTTTCTCATTTTCATTATCAGTTTATTTGTTTTGCTGTCAGCCATCAACCTGAGGCCCACAGTTTCCTCCGCACTTCCTTCATTTATTTATCTTTTACTAACTAATATGTCATTCTACATACTCAAAGGCGGTAATATAAAGGAAAAAAAATGCGTTCAAAATGGTTGTGGAGAGTTCAGTCTTCCTTCTTTTTTAATTTGTTTTTGGTTTTGTTTTTTTTTGGTATGGCCGCAAAGTTGTCGTAGACAGACAGAAAACAAGTCTATTTTTGTCATGTTAGCGCCAAATTACATTTTAAAATGAATCGTCACTTGAGGATATTTACAAACGAATAGGCAGAGTTCGCATCGTACCACCTTCGATGTGTGATGCTTGTGCCCAAGGATTAAAATCTAATAGTAAGCATTTTATTTAAAGCACAAAAAGTGCGTTCGTAAAATTTATTTTGGTACAATAATACCTTGGAAAGATAGCTCTAAAATTAATGAACAACTATCAAAAACGGCAAGTTAGACTTTGGGTTAACTATCTCAGACAATTATGATTAGTTTTTAATTTAAGGGGCCTACCCTGGGTTTTACTTATACTTTCAGTATATTTTTGCCAGCACTGTCCAGTGCACACATCTTTCTCTACAACAAAAACTCCTACCTTCAAGAAAGAATTGCCCTGCTAGAAGGAGCAAACCAGTAAACCTTTCCGAAAATGAATGGAAAAAATGGAGGATACATTTTCTGTTAAAAAATCTTAATTAAACCAACAGTAATTTTTCCCTATCACTCCAAGTGGAAATGAATTTAATGATAATTTTGCTTATTTTATTTGCACAGGTATCTTTTTTTCGGGTCCCAATCTTTTATTAAAATTTGTGTCATTTAATGCCGAGTGGAAATCCGGCATTAGTATGTAATTTGTGTTGCCCTTACAGTTTAACTGCCATTATTTTATGTTTAAATGACCACTGTTCCAATGGTGTTGTTGTTTTTGAGGCAGTAAAAAGTGGTTTAGCTAGTGGATTTTCAGTAGACCTCCAAGAAATTCATTAATTTTTTTTCCTTTTATATAATTAAAATTTGTTTTTTCTAATTGTAAAATTGATTTTCGGAATTTTACTTTAATAAAGTATTAAACCTCAAATTCGTTAACAAAAATTTAAGCTTCAGTTTTTTAGGTATACGTATTAATTAGATTAGTACAACTTTTTGAAATTTTTTTTTGTAAATAGCCTTTTAAATAATTTTTGTTGAGAATACTTAGTATGCATGTAATTTGTTTCATTTTCTTTTCTTTTCTTAACAAAACGTTAATAGCTGCACATCAATTCGCCAGTTCTCTGTTCGCTATGTTTGAGTTCCCGGTCGCTTAACAAAAACTTTTGTACGTGAAAGCAACAACAAAGTTAGCTAGCAAGGACGGAGTGTGTTTGGTTGTACCTCATTGAGTTCGTTCGTTTCGCTACTCGCTTACTGTAGGCGAATCGATGACAGCTAGTACCTCATATGTAACGTTTTAATGTAAAATCTCTTACGCTTATATGGCAATAAAATTGAAAACCATTAAGAAATAACATAACCTCAAAAAAGGAGCAAAAGAACATTTTATGTATGTATGCATTTCATGCATATGTAAGCACTTAAATATATAGCACAAGTGCTCTTAATTAACTCTAGTTAATTAGAAAAATTATATCCACCAGTAAAAGGGTTTAATAAAGCAATTCGCTTAAGCGGCATTTAGTATTAGTCCATTTTGTGTAGTTAATCACGAAAGGCATAAAATCGCAAATTTTTGTGTACTCACTTTATTAGCTGCACGTAGTTGTGTGTATGAGGGCTTCACAAAAAATTTTGCAACTGCAGCAGCAGCAACCAACAAAGTCTACCCCATTGAATAAAATACTCATAACATTATTTGCATATTAACATTTTAGTTCATATACAACGCTACACATTAAATTATATTGCATTCAAATTTTACATTACATAAATTAACTTTTTAACACTTTTATTTTGCAAAAACAGCAGTTCGTCTAATTTTAGTTCCGTTCCTTGTTTCACTTCCACATCCGTTTGTTGGGAATTTTAACTCGCTGCTGGCAATGCCTTTGCTAAATGTCATTTTTCTCGTCTCCTCTTTGTCTCTTCATTCGTTATATGCCGTCGTTATATTCCGGCGACATTCGACATTCGGCAATCACTTCATAGAGGTATTTAGAAAAATTTCGAGAATTATTGGCATAATTTGCTTATAATTTAATTAATTCTAGTTTTCATTGTGTGCATTCAACATCAGCAGATAATTCAATATGTTTTCATTAGCACGTACAGCTTCGAATGTCGCAAAGTGAGTATATTTGTCTTGGGGGGGGGGGCAAAAAGGTAACCTTCCGCCGGCGCCGCTGCCGCAGCCCAGAAGGGTTTCGCATAATTTATTGATTACATAAAGCCGGCAACGCGCCTAAGAAATTATAGTTAATTTAATTTTCTCGTATTTCATTTACACAGAACGGCCGTGCGCTGTAAACATGATTTGCCTAAATTGCCATACGATTATGCCGCTTTGGAACCGATTATCTGCCGTGAAATTATGGAATTGCACCATCAGAAGCATCATCAAACATATGTGAACAATTTGAACGCTGCTGAAGAGCAATTAGCTGAAGCACAGCAGAAGAAAGATGTAACCAAAATTATTTCACTTGCACCAGCACTGCGTTTCAATGGTGGCGGTCACATAAATCATTCGATTTTCTGGCATAATTTGTCACCTGAAAAATCACAACCTTCCAATGATCTTAAAAGCGCTATCGAAGCACAATTCGGCAGCTTGGATGCACTGAAGAAAGAATTGACAACATTGACTGTAGCAGTTCAAGGCTCTGGCTGGGGTTGGTTGGGCTACAATAAGAAAACCAACCAGTTGCAGTTGGCTGCTTTGCCCAATCAGGATCCATTGGAAGGCAGCACTGGTAAGCGCCTTTGGATTTCGTTTCTAAAAGTGTAATATTATGTATAATAATTTTGGTGATTTTGTATGTTTTGGCAGGTCTAATTCCACTCTTTGGCATTGACGTTTGGGAGCATGCTTACTACTTGCAATACAAGAATGTGCGACCATCCTATGTGGAAGCCATCTGGGATATTGCCAACTGGAAGGATATCTCCAATCGTTTCGCTGCCGCTTCTAAGAAGTAAATGTGTTGTTTTGTATTTTATCGCAGCCTGTGTCTCTTATAAGCTTTAAGTGATTTAGAGAAGACAACTTATAAAGTGTCCACTATGTTTGATGTGCGAAACCTCGTAATTAACCTAACGTACTCACTGTCATTAGATTTTATTTCCATTACCACACCGTAGAATGGAATAAAAAATTGAAAAATGATTTATGAATAGTAATAAATACACGCTTATGCAAGGATACGTGGCTTAGTGAATTGATTAAGAATAGTTTACGAGGAGCAAAAAATACCCTTACATGGCACTTAGGAATAATCGTCAATCATTAAAGGAATTTTAACGTTTCTAAAAATAGTACTCCAGTCAGATTTCAATGCAGATATGGACTGTTGCGCCAACAGGATTACCCAGAAAGTATTGATAAATGGAATGGAATATTTAGAGCACAACTCCACAACACTCTTCAGGGGTTTCGTGCTTTTCAGGCTTTCAGCAATAGTTTGATTCTTAGATTACATGATCCAACTACACATTTGGTTCATGCTTAGATTAGACTACTAATAAAAGTAGATTGTCAAAGAAAACTTTCTGCGATTGACTATCGACTTTGGAGCTATATGTATGTATATGATTGAATCATGGGAGTTATATAAGAATACAAAAATTATAAGCGCTAAACTCGTGCAAACTGTTATTAAACTTTGTTCTGCATAAAAAAATGCTTTTTGACTTACTTCACCCAGACTTGGCAACTCTCGTTCTCTTCTTGACATTCCTGCATTATCGCCTTTTCGTAACTGTCATAAAAATCGTTTATGATGAATCACGAGAATTAAAACAAAACTCTGAAAATCATTTTCCTATCAGCTGGTTGTGTGAAAAACAAATCTTTGGGAAAGGGGCAATTCGGTCTAATTGGAATTTTGAGGAGGCAAAAACGAAGCTCGAACCTGCGCTCTAGTGGCTGGAGCGGAAATTCGGTGTTTGATTTCCACTAGACGTTTGGCTGGACGATTTCCGTGGATGACGAACAAGTGATTTTCCTGTCGTCGACTTTTCGAATCAGACGAAGTTTTCTCGCCTGACCGTCCACTCTGGTTTTTGGCTATTGCTACGCATGCAAACGCATTAATTAAAAAATAAAGATACTCTTTATTACAAAAGAATTTAGTTGCTTAACAAATTGCATTGTGTGTGAAAACGAAAAGCTGGAAAATAAAAATTGCTCACAACCAAAGGAGATAACTAGAGCGCACAGTGTGTTGAAAGTGTGAAAGTTATAAGAAGAAAGACAAACACATTTAATAATCCAGTGTTTTGAGTGTGTTTGATATAAAAAGCTTGAAACTTAATTACTGCGCTGTTTTCTTATATTAAACTTTGGCTGGGTCTCAACACAATTTTGTTTAGATTTTCCACGCGGCGATTGCAAATCACTTTGAATACACATCTGCTTTTCGGGTAAGTCTAAGGTAATTTAGCTTTTAGTTATTGTTTCCATTATCAACTTTTATACAAGGTATTTCCAAGGAAAAAATGCCTCTCAAAAAAATCAGTGAAAAATCAATTTTCCGCAAGGTTCTCCGCCGTACTCACACACACACACACTCAAGTTCGCCTGAATTCACCATCCTCGATTGCTAAATGCGAGTGGTGTGTTTTGCATTCGTCGGCAACTGATTCCCACATTCAACATGCTTCTCTAACGGCCGGTTCTTAGTGTAATTAAAAATTTTTTGTGCTGAATGTTTTTACAAAAATTAATAATAAATATCCAAGGATTGTTCTCTTTACTAGAAATTATTAGATTTCCTGGCTTCGGAGCGCATTCTTATGGACCACTTGTATCTTACAAAGAAACAAATTTGTATTGAATTTTTTTATTTTAATTATTATATATGTACATATGTTTTAAAGTCACAACCCTTGGCGCAATAATAATAATTCCACCATGATACAACCGATATTTATTATTTTGATGTGCCGACTTTTACACCATCGGAATGTGACTTATTTGAGCCAAGAATTATTCAGTAGAGATTAGTTTTATCGACATGGCCCCTTGTAAATTTGATAATGTTCAAACGGTCAGTGATATTATCGTAAAATACTCGTACTAATATATATAAATATGCAGCTATGCCTGTACATATGTATGTATACATACTTATATCATTATTTATTTTTTTTCAAACAACTTGTTTATCTCTACGCTTTTCCGCTTTGCTTTTTAATGAAAAGCTATTTTTATGTCAACAATATGCTAATATTAAGCAAACAACTAATCAAAATAGTCATAAATTTCAAATAGGTGCATAAAATTGATATTATTATTATTTTTTTTTATTTAGCCGTGCACAAAAGCAGGCGGTGCATTATATATAATATAACAGCGTGTCATCGTCATATTTCCAACGATTGATGGATAGATTGGTTTATGATTTTTGAAAAGGCGAAGAAGAAAGCGAATTTGATTTTTATGAGAAGCCTCATTTTATATTGGCTTATCTTTATTATTATCCGTCGGCCGCTGTGGTGTAGTGGTAAGCAGTGCGCGCTTTCACTCATCAGCACCTGGGTTCAAGCCCTGGTCAAAGCAACATCGCAAAAGGTATAGAAAAAGGTTTTGCTTAACAGCGGTTGTCCCTCGGCAGGCAATGACAAACCTCCGAGTGTATTTCTGCCATGAAAATCAGCTTCTCATAAAAATACAATCGCCGTTCGGAGTCGGCGTAAAACTGTAGGTCCCTCCGCTTTGTGTGACAAATCAAAGCGCACGCCATAAGTCGGAGGAGAGAATCTCGGCCAAACACTAACATATGTGTAAGCGCCAATCTATTATTATTATTATTATCTCTATTTTCCTTAATTTTAAATTTATGTAGTTGTATTTGTTTTTTAATTTATTTCAATTATATTTTATTTTTTATAAAATTTATTTTAAGTTTATTTTCTTGTATTTCGCTTTTGTAGAATAAATTTTGTTTGTTTCAATTCTATTTTTTCGATTGTTTTATTTTCTTTTGTATAATTTTCTTTTAATTTTAATTTTTAATAACTATGTAGTTATTTCAATTTAATTTCTTCATTTGGGGTTTTTTTCTTTTTTATCTCTCTTATTTAATTTAAATTTTTCTTCTAAAAAATGTGTTTTTTTTTTAAATTTTATATATGTACAATATTTGATTTTGTCTTATTTTTTATTTACGTAATTTTTGATAATATTTTTCAAACCCCATTTTATTTTATTTTACTTTATTTTTAATGTTAATTTGTTCGTAATTTTGTGTTTATTTTATTGTAATTATTTATTTTTTGCAATCCTTTTTATTTTATTTAGGTTAGTTTTATATAATGTTTAACTTAATTTAATAAAATTAAATTTATTTCATATTATCTTGTTTCATTTATTTAATTTATTTGGATTTTTTTAAAGCCTATAATATTTTTTATACACAGTTTTTTATTACACATTTTTAATTTTATTTATTTTTTATTTTTGTATATTTATTTTACTTAATCTAATTTAATGTATTATTTCTTATTTTTTCTTTCTTTTTATTTTTTGATACAATTTTTTTCGGATTATATTTATTCTATTATTATTAAATTCTATTTAAATTTTGTATTTTAATTTAATTAAATTTATTTATTTTTTTGTTTTATTTTACTTAATTTTATTTTTGATATAATCTGGTTATTTTTTGGAAATCTTATTTAATTTTAATTAAGTTGGATTTGTTTTTTTTTGTATACATATTTTATTTTATTGTAATTATTTTTATTTAATTTTATTATATTTTTAGTTGGTCTTGTTTTATTTTTGATAGGGGGGCTATCACAGAATCCATCGTAGTCCGATTTTTCGTGAAATCTCCGAAAATACGATCAGTGAATCCGATTTGCTACGAACGCGTGTTTTCAATATATAAGCCAAGTCGTGACTATTCGGATTCAGTGATAGCATTTCCGTTGATTTCACGACAAATCGGATCACGATGGATTCTGGGACAGCCCTGAGTATTTTAATGCCCATTTAATACATTCCTTTTTTAATGCCGAATTTCCACTAGGCATTCAAATGACAAAAAATGTGTGCCATTTAAAAAAATTCTATGTGGAAAAGAACTTAATGACTATTTTTTTAATGTAATGACACGATTATTTTTTAATGCCCGACTTTGTCATTTGTCATTTTCGCCATTTACTGCCTAGTGGAAATCCAGCATAAGCATAGTTTATTTTATTTATTTTTTTATTCTGTATTACCTCTATTATTTCATTTCTTTTTTAATGTTAATTAAAGTTTTTTAATTTTTATTTATATTTGTTATTTAAATTGTTTTATTTTTTAAAATCTACTTTATTTTACTTTGTTTTATTCTTTTGTTTTTATTTCTATTAATGTTTTAATTTTTCTTAAGGTTTTTTTTTTTAACTATTTAATTCAAACTAAAATTTGTTTGTTCTTTATTTTATTTTAAATTTACTTTGAGTTATATTGTTTTAAATTAACATTCAGTCTTCAATAACTTATCGTAGACATATAATATAAAAATAAAAAATAAAAAACTGATATTTGAGATTACTTGGATAAAAATTAAAAATAATTGTTATTTTGGATTTACAAAATAAAAATCAAAAATAATTGTTATATATATTTTTTTATTTTGTATAAAAATTAAAAAAAAAAAATTATTTTCAAATTTGATTCTCGGTGAAAAAAAGAATCGATTCACCAATAACTGGTCCCTGATAAAAATAGTTCACCAACTACAAAACTATTTTACTAAAGAAATCGATCTGTTTAAGCTTCAAAAGCCACACGGACAAGGTACCTTGTTCACGATATTGAGATCCTGTGTGTGGAAGAGCAGCAGAAGAAGCGACAACCTTGCCAAAGGAAATGCGAAAATGTTCCATTTCCGAATTATTAAAAACAAGTATAGAAGCATAAATCAAGTGTAGTGGACAAATAAACATAAAGAAATAAAAAGAAAAAATAGATGAACGCAATAATCAAAGGCTCCAGCGCTGACAGCAAAAATAGCTGTAATTTGAGTAAGAGTGGAATGGAATAAGGATTATAGTAAAATTGCGGGGGCGACTAAAGTAAAGAAACTGATAACTAGAGTACACTAAGCGGCTTATTTAAGCGCAAATTTCGTGAGGAACGACGATTTTATACAGCTTACATATTTAACTACGCATTTGACTCTATGTTGTCACAATTTTAGTCGCAT